GACCTTAACGAGTAGACCATGGGAAACATAAAATATATAACTTGGACTCTAAACATGAACAATATATATATGAACATACTTGAAGAAAGAATCATATACAAAAATTAGTTTGGACAAAACACTAATCTATTCTCATATATACACGAAAGAGGCATATTTTGGGCTAACAACTTCAACAAGCAAAATCTTACCTAGTTATCTCTAGTACTATTTGGTCAGAAAGATCTTAAACTACACAAGTACTAATTAGACAACAAATTCAACATCATGAAAAAATATTGAAATAGTATATCGATTGGAGTAATTAATCAAGCTGAAATTAAGAAATCTTACTCGGAGCTAGCGAATTCATATAATCTTCCTTTCTGAGAGAAGATCATCGCTGCGACTTGAGCATCACATAGAACAGAAAGCTCATGAGCCTTCTTAAAGAGACCACTCCTTCGTTTGGAAAACGTGACTTGTCTACTTGTTACGTTCTCGATCTTCTTGATCTCAATCTTTCCTCTCACCATTTCAATGAATTCCTACAAAACCAATCCAGATTTGCTTAGAAATTTATGGAAACCCTAACTAAATGTGAAAGATTTGCTGGCAGATCAGAGAAACAAAGTCACAAGCTAGAATTCAAAAGTCATAGCCCAGAAATGGTTTCTTGATTGAAACCAACCCAAAGTCATAGCCCAGAAATGATTTCTTGATTAATCAGTGTGAGAACTTTACCAAGAAAATACGGGAAAAATCTGAGAAGCAAGAGTAAACTCCTAAAATCCCTTTTAAGAGCTAGCTAGTTTTGTCGAGATTCGCTTTAAATATTCACTCAAGAAGACGAATTTGGATAGATAAGGAATAATTTACACAAGAAGGAAAAAAGAAACATAATTTGGTGGAAAGTAAAATCCTTAATTTTAACAGAGAAGATTTGTGTTTACCTCTCTTTAGGCTCTTAGCGAAGGAGCCACAAACCCTAAAGTCTAATCTGTTGTTAAACAAAAAGAAAGAATCTGCCTTCTTTCATTTGGTAACGTTTTTTTTTCCCATTAGCACACGTAGGGAAAAGTAAGTAAGGAAAAAATAGACAAAGAGTTTTCGTAAAACCGGACCGGCTGAATCGGTTCTAATTCATGTGGGTCAATAAATTTGTAGAAACTTTTTTTTTAACAATGACAAAATATAATTACATGATTTACATCCATTATATTATTATTACTAGATTTTAATCCGCTGTATACCGCGAGATAATTTATTTTTTAAATTTAGTATAAAAATATTTTGTAAATTGTATCTCCTTATAAAATATTTATTTATATTATAGTTGATAATTGTTATTAAGTAACAATATACCACGAGTCCACGAAATAATTGTTAATAAACTGAAGATTTAACCCGTATTAAAGCGGCATGTTAATGATATTTATAAATATTGATTCAAATTCGTCCGCCATATAAACCTGTTCCGAAATATAACTTGTTATGTAATTTCTTAACCCGTCCCTGATTTGTTTTTATTAAAAAAATTTAATGATTATTTACTATATATAAAAGTTTAGAAATCATAGCATTCTCTAAGTCATTTATATTTTAATAAACTGAAGATTTAATCTGTATTAAAGCGGCATGTTAATGATATTTTAAAATTTTATAAATATTGATTCAAACTCGTCCACCATATAACTTCGTTCCGAAATATAACCTGTTCTGTAACTTTTTAACCAGTCTCGTGATTTGTTTTCTAAAAGTAATAATTTTTAAAATTTAACGATTATTTATATATATAAAAGTTTACAAATTGTATCATTTTCTATGATATTTATATTTTATAGTTTACAATTGTTATTAAGTAACATTATACCATGGGACAATTTTTGGGTTTATACAATCTTTTCTAAATAAGATTCATTTAATATTTATAATATTGGTGGTATTAAAATAAAATTAAGGATTTAATCCGTATTGAAGCGGCATATTAATGATATTTTAAACTTTTTATTATTGTTGATTCAAAAACTCGTTCCGCCACCAGGATTCGAGGCACGGCCACTGGCGGATTTACATGAGGGAATCGCCAGCTCCCCGGGATGTGGGGTACCCTAGGGCAGATGACGCATATGGGCCACACACTAGTCGGGTCACACCTAAGGTGGGATCCGGATACCCGAGTTATCAAAAAAAAAAAAAAAACTCGTTCCGCCAAAAAAACTCATTTATTTTATTAAACTTAATCGATGTAGAACGTTGAACACACATTTTCGTCAATTGGATAATATATGTCTATTTTTAAAATTTCGAATCACTGTATATGCAGAAAAAAAATTGAATTTTTTTTTACTTTATATATTAGATGATGATTTAAAACAGTTAAAAACAAATCAAACAAAGATTATAGGAGAATTATAATTCTAAATCTTAATCAAATATTCTAAATATCTAAATTATTATGGAATATCCGGTGTATGAGTTGGATTAAATATAACTCGTCCCAACAAACTTTTTATGACCATAATTTATAAACGGGTAGGGTATCCAAAGTATCCGAAAAAAATTTTACCCACCCGATTCAAAGGTGACTGCAAAATACTAGTATAGATGATAGTAATTTTGGATTAAAGTTCTCAATAATCTAACTACGAGCGATGTCATTACTAATTATTTTTAAAAAGGGTACAAATTATTTGTTATTTTTAGATTTATCTCTAAGCATATTTCTCTTTTCCAATTTTTGTTTTCTGATTTTATAAAATTCAGTCAATTTCAAATTCAATTTTAAAAGTTTTATTAATTTGAGCAATCTGTTTCGAAAGACTATGGAGCAAGCTGTCTGTTTGGTTGAATAATTATAGCCCTAAATCAAAAGACTTAGTATTAGATTTTGTTTTGGCCAAAGGTTGATTTTCATATTTCAATCATCATCAATGGGAAATGTAAAGGGAAAATGGACAACGTCTTCGATTGGTGCGTCGATATCATCAAATAGTTGACGTAAATCGATAAGCAATCAAATATATCCACGTGTATTATCCACTTTCCCACAAAAATCTTAGACTAAGATTTGTTTTCTAACTGATGAAAAAAAAAAAAAAGATTAGTTTTCTAACTATTCGTCTTGTTTAGTTTTGAGTTTTGACTAATTAGCTTCTTGAGAACTAAAATGTTCAATTACGGAATTGTATGAGGCTATGAGCTATAAGACGACACCAGATTAGACACATTTGCATTAGAAACAAAATGCTACACTTACTCCAAAAGATAAACTAAAATGACAGCTTGTACTTGTCAAATTATTTCCAGTTTATACACATATATTAAGAGATCGCCAGAGCACTCAGAAAACAATAAACTATATGGAAGCATTATATTGTACAAACATGGAACCGAAGTAAATATGTTATAGCCGAGTCACGGGCAATCCAATAAATAGGTCGGTTTCAACCTCTGATGAATGTTTGGTACTGCAACCACCTTCAGTTTTACCCTTATCACAGATTTGTAAAGTTGGTTGTACCACCGGTCGCATCAACATTTCTCTAATTTGCTGAAAATATAAATTAATAAGTTATTTTTCGTAATATGTATATAAAGAGAGAGGGATATAGCTCAGAGACATATATATCCATAGACCTATTATTACCTATATTTTCATTTTGATATATAAGAAATTTACTTTGTTAATTCAACCAAACCAATGTAACTCGAGGAGAGTTAGATATTAAAAAGCGACTCATAGAGGAATAATATTCCCTAACATATCTTTAGAGCAACTGATGCAAGTACTAAAATTAAAGGACAGCATGGAAAATTAAGGAAACACAAGCTCTTAACGAAACAAAATTTCCATGTTTGCGTTTACATGGAAAAATAAATTGGGGTTTTCACATTTTTGAAATAGAAAACATTTTCAATTTTCAAATTTGCAAAATGAAAACGAAAACGCCAAACACAAACGTGATTCCATTTGCGTTTACAATAAACAAATATTTTTTTTTTTAAAATGTTTAATTATGGTTATGAGACTAATTTGGCCAAAAAAGGCAAAAACATGGTAAATGTTTTTTTTTTTTTGGTGAGCAAAACATGGTAAATGTAAACGTAGATGCATGCAAACACAAACAAACAAAGCCTCAATAGTTCTACAATTGATCGGCTCTTCAATAAACCATGATTCTTCTTATAAGAAGAAGTCTTAGAAATGGAATGAAATATATATCTAAGCTTCTACATACCTAAACGAAGAGCTATATTTAACTAAAATTTATGTGTGTCTTATGTGTATCCTATGATGAGTGTGCTCGTATTTACCTCTTCACGCAGCCTTTTTCTCTCGTTCAAGAGCTCCCTCTCCTAGAATCCGAGCAAGAAAGATCGATTAAAATTACATGGAGATTATACAACCGATCCCATAAGTTAGAATTTGTATATAAGTTACTCAGATAAAAAAATTACCTTTTCTTTTAGCTTTTTCAGTTGATCTGCATATAACTCAGCCTACGCACCAAGATCAACCAATGAAGACATTATTACATCATTAACATGTGTGTATATATTAATCTATGTGTGTGTGTGTGTCTGAGTGTTTAATTTGTACCTTTCTGGACCTGACAATACGAAGGCTTTTCTCAATTTGAGTGTCTATCTCTTGAAGTTCTGTCACTGAACACGAATCCAAACCTTGCCCCAACAGCTTACTTCATATATAGTGGCATTCAAGAGATAACAAATTTTAGGACTGAAACAAAACTATAGTATATATACAATGGATAGAGTAACCATAGGATTAGTGAAATGTGAACCGGTGATGAACTTCAAGAAGATCAATCTTCTTCACCATTCTATTCATTTCCATCTTCAGCTCCTATACAACCCCCAAAAAATAGTCAATACTATCATCTAAATACATTTCGAGTCTATAACATAATGTACATATCAAAAACTTTAAAATAAATGAAGAAACTAAGATAAAGAATAGGTATGGATATAGAGAACCTGCAAGTATCGTTCTATTTGGGGCCTCTCTGCCACATACAAGGCATTAGTAAACTTTTCATATCTTTCTATAATCTTCTCCATCCTGAAAAGTTAATTCAAAAGAGATGCTTTTTTTATCAGTGATGCATGATGATGACATTCATGAGATTGATATATTATGTGTGAATATCCTTAAAATATATAAATACATGTTATGATCATTTAATACGGAAGTCCATGATTATCAACCAAGATTTTGGTAAAATTTGATATCTAATTTAGATAACATTATTCTATATAATCAAATTCGTTTTTGCAATCACCAAACCCAATGGAGAATTGGTTTGCTGCACAAAATTTGTCAAGCATGAAATGCAAAATGAAACAAAAGGGAACTATGCAAAATCATGAATCTCCTACTCTGTAAAAACTGTACACTATTTTTTTAGACAATTTGACCTTGACCAAAAGAAAACAAAAAGGATAACATGAACTATGTATCGACTTTTTGTTGGCTCCTATAATGAATATTCATCATGATTGAAAATCTAGTGACAAAGTTTGGATCCCCGAGAGATTTAAATTTTCTTCTCATGCATAATATATAAAACTTTCTGTACTTACATGTAACTACATTTTCGGATAGTCCATTTCTTGTTGGATATTCTTAAAAAAAACCATATGCCAAGTGGCTGCTTACTTTCGGAACCC